CCTTCACCATCTCAATCGATCGTTTCCGCTGCCGCCTTAGATGTGTTTCGTGTTACTGTCTGCTCAAGAAACACGAGAGGCATCCGACGCGGCAGTCAAACGAATGGACACGGCACACAGCGTCAAAGCTAGACGACTACATGCCTCTCTCCCCGCCACATGACACACAACAGCAGAGAGCATGCATCCCTCGTCCTCATCTTCATGGTCACTTTTCCCTGAGCTCGATCCTCAGGTTCTCCGCGACCAGAGATCTGATCATCTCCATCTTCTCATTCGCCGCTGACGTGAACTCAGCCGGGTCCTGACAAATCAGACCAACGCACACATAGAGACAAAGATCGGTGGATGCCCGCATTCACCATTGCCTCTTCTATCCATATGTGTGTGTGTCGCGCACCTTGACCGTCGCGGCTGGGCTGAACCTGAGCCTGTATGTGTGGCTGAATCGCTTCTTCTTGGGGTGGAAGAAGCGGTCGACCAGAATGCTCTCCTCTATCAGGTCCTCGCTGTTCTCGCGAATCAACTCGTAAAACGAATTCGCGTCCGTCCTGGACAACACAACACAACACAGACCGGCCAAGCACACTGCACCCATGAGTGTGTCCACGCGGGTGCAGATGTGTAGTGGTGGGCGTACCAGGTCCAGTCGTCGTCTCCGTCTTCCCCCTCAGCCACTTCGTCACTGTCCAGCCAAAACGATATGTCCTTCTCGACCTACACACACACACACACAGAGAATACAGACAATATAGGTCAGCGCGACCGTGCAGTTGAATTGCATTCCACCGCTCCCTCCCTCCCTCACCGGGTCGACATTCGAGAACTCTTTGAACTTGACGAACTCCCCGCTCTCGAACTGCGAGAGGAACTTGGGGTCCTCCGACCAGAACACACGGATGTCATTGATGTCGAAGAACAGCATCGCCAGCCGCTCCAAGCCCACACCAAAAGCCCAGCCCCTCTCGCCGCTGAAGCCGTTGTTTTCGAGTATCTTTGGCTGGACGACGCCCATGCCGAGTATCTCGAGCCACTTGTCCTGGTACCTGACCTCGATCTCAAAGGAGGGGTCGGTGAAGGGGAAGTAGTCGGCGTTGAGCCGCCACTCGCACCCTGGGAACAGGTGCTCTATCAGACCGCCGATCACCTGAGGAAGGGAGAGCACCGACAGGGCGCAGTCGTGTATCGCGTGTGTATGCGTGTGGTGAGTGGGGAGGGGTCTGACTGACCCGCATGAGGTCGTCCTTTGGGTCGACGCCGTCGTCGACGATGCAGAGCCCCTCCATCTGGTGGAAGACGGGGTAGTGGGAGCGGTCGATCTCATCCTTCCGGTACACATCCCCCGTCACCAGAAAGCACCGGTGCCCCTGCGCCAGCAGCTCATTCTGGTGCGCCGACGTGTGCGTCCGCAGCACCGTGCCCTCATTGACATAGTAGGTGTCGGTCTTGCCGCGGGCGGGGTGGTCCTGGGGAATCAGCAGCTTGTCAAAGTTGTCCTCGAGTGACACAGCGGGCGAGAGCGAGTCGTGGCTCGAGAAGTTGTAGCCGTCGAGGGCGAGGAAGTAGTCATATATGTGCCGCTTGAGGATCTCCAGCGGGTGGTTCTTCTGGTTGTGCAGATTGCGCCCGATCTTCTTCTCGACGGACGGCGGCACGTTGCTGAAGGCCGTCTTCATCGGCAGCACCTCGGCTGACGGCGGCGCGGTCTCCACCAGCTGCATCGACACACCTTGACGGGTGGCCGACTGCCGCCTGTGTTGCCTTCTGCTGTGTGTCGAGAGTGACTGAGAGGGGTGGGAGTGCTGCAGTCGCGATAGCTGCATGGGCGTACGGAATGCGGCAGCACGCTGCGGCAGGACGATGCCAATGAGGGCGCATAATGACGGCCACGGCTGCTTCATTGTCAGGTCAGATGGGATGAACCAAGGTAGATCTCGCGTCTGCTGCTAGTCTTCACGCGCTAAGGGTTCCTTCACGCGCCAGAGGCAAAGCTCGCTGCGAGCTTAGATCACAAGAAGCAAATAGGTTGGAGAGCAGCCTCTGTCCTCGCTTGTGCTGCTTTTCTATCTCCCGTCTCTTTCTGCACATCGACGCGGCAATGGCGCTGCTTGGTGACGCAGCCAAGGCCGCCCACGCCCTCCCGCTGCACTTCTGGGCCGATGCAGTCGCCACAGTGTGAGCACCTGCGCATGAGAAATGCTCGGCTGCGATTGTCTCACTCACTCTCTCTCTGGCCCTTGTCTGTGTGTGCTGTTTGTGTGTGTGTGTCGTCGTCTCGTTGTGATAGGTTTGCATACACGGCGACGGTTGTGTCGTTCATTCACATCATGCGGCACGTGCACCACACGCAGTACTGGGGTATGACCAAGTACACAGTGAGGATACTGCTCCTGGTGCCCGTCTTCTCAATCGACTGCTGGTGGTCCCTCCTCGTCGGGTCATCTGACAGAAACTGGACAGGTAGGTGCGAAGACAAACACACGGACACACAGACAAACAGACAGGTGCTATTGCCCACTCATCCATTCATCCACGTATCCGTTGTGGATCGTTGACTCAGAGGTGTTCACGGTAATCCGCGAGCTCTACGAGGCGTTCGTACTGTTTTCCTTCCTGCAGTTCATGCTGGCCTACCTGGGCGGGCCGCAGAATCTGGCCCGTCTGCTCAAGGAGGAGGGCAACCCCACGACACACTTCATCCCCTTCAGATGGTTCCTGCGCGACTGGCACATGGGTGGAGAGTTCCTCGCCATGTGTTTCCGCGGGGTGCTGCAGTACATCCCCATATCCATCCTCACGACCATCGTGTCGCTCGTGGCGTGGTCGTTCCGAGTGTACAAGGAGGGCCGCTTCACCTTCCAGTCGGTGTACCCGTGGCTGACCCTGCTCAAGAACTTCTCGCAGATCTGGGCCATGTACTCGCTGATCCTCTTCTACCACGCCATACACCACAAGCTCGTCAACATCAGACCCCTTGCGAAGTTCCTCTGCATCAAGGGGCTGGTGTTCTTCACCTTCTGGCAGTCGGTGGCCATCGCAGGTGCGCACGGCGCCCACATACACACACATGTGTTCCCATGCATTTTGTGTGGGCCTTTGTGTTTGTGTGTGTGCAGCGCTTCAGTATGTGGGAGTGATTAAAGCGGAGAAGTGGGAGCTGATCCACACCTGGAGCACCCGCGAGATCGCAATAGGGGTGGGCAACTTTGTGCTCTGCATCGAAATGCTCGGATTCGCCATCGCACACTGCTATGGTGAGTATGTAAGGTTCCCATCCACCCCACCAAGCACCAAGCCAGCCACGTCTCACCTGTCTCTCTGTCTGTCTCTCTGTCTGTCTGTCTGTCTGTCTGTTCTTTCTTGTGTGTGTCATGCCTGCAGCTTACCCGTACGATGAGTTCTCGCGGCCACTCGTCGACCACGCCAGGCTCATCTCGGGCGAGCTCACACGCAGCGTAGCTGGTCCCTTTGGCGCTTCTGAGATAAACACGGCGTCGGCCAAGTCTGCCAAGGCACGGTCGGCGCGTGGCGCCACCCGCGTCGACATACAAGATGACAACGATCGCAGGCGGATGCTGCTCGAGTGTGTCAAGGAGGAGGACGAGGAGCAGGGCGGTCCTGATGAGGGGGTGGAGGTCGACCGCGGGATGGAGCGGCCTGATGATGAAAAGAGTGACAACATGTCTTTGGACGAGAAGATGAAAATGGGCGGTGGTGGCTATGTCTCCATGATGATGCTCGACGCACTCAGGAGGCGGCTCATGGATGGGGTCAACTTTCTGGACGTCGTGCAAGCCGCCAGAGAAGTGGAAGACGTCACTGGGTCAGTCATGGACAGACAGACAGCCCCATAGACACACACACACACACACACACATGCCGCCTGTCTGGCTGTCTGTCAGAGCGTCGACCAACCCGAGAAACTTCTTGCATGATGTCTGGGGCGGCATGAGCGGCGGCCCGCCCCCCACAGCCGCCCCTCATCACGACCCCGAGCAGCAGGCAGCCCCTAGCTTCACCACTGACCCCTTCCCAGCCATTGTCAATGGCGGGACCCACGAGTCCCGCGACTCCCCCACTCGCGAGTCGGCCGCCAGCTCATCGGCTGCCATGTCCATGTCCAGTGCTGGTGCCACGCACGCGGCCGTGCAGCCGCAGAGTAGCCGGAGGCCGATGCTGCACGACACGCAGTCGCTTGGTCGGCAGGAGAAGAAGATCGGCGTGAGCGGGGAGGGCATGAAGTGGGGCAAGAAGAGGTCGTCCGGCTCGTGAGACAGTGAGTATAGAGGGGGAGAGGGAGATGAGATGGTATGTCTGTTTGTGGTGTGTTTGAATGATTGCCTGCCTGCCTGCCTGCCTGGTTCGAGAACTGCTGTTGTCTCGCTGGCTGCTACATGGTGTGGTTCGTCCGGTGTGTTCTTTATCATCACTGACTGTATGCGTTTTTGTGTATCGCTCGCTCCACAGATGGATGGATGGATGTGTGTATGCGTGACACGTGTCAAGACCATGGCACCCAATTGATTGACTTCCGTACTTACGTGCATGTGGCTGCATCGACCGGTCGGTGGGTGGGTGGGTGATTGACCTTATCGTGTTTGTTTGTGTCAATTTGCTGCGTCTGCTCATTCCAAGCGATTCGATCACACTGCACGCCATTTCAGTCAGATCAACAGAACTTCATTTGCAGACAGACCAGGTCAGTCAGCGTACGAGTGCAGATGAGCGAAAAAAGATGAGTCGAGGGACCGATTTGGTCTCCCTTCTCTGATCCATTTGATCAAGGCAGGCAGGAGGGCAGGCAGTTCAGTCAGCCACGAAATTGATGTTGGATTCCTGCAGCGAGCAGTACCAAATAACACATCACCTGTATGTATCATTCATTCTTTGGCTAAGGGGTTGTTCTCGTCATTACCAGCTGGATCACACCCTCATTTCGTTGCATCAGCGGCTTGGGACAGCCTGCATGCAGTGAGCAAAAAGTGCATAGTACCCGTCATTTGCCACTCAACCGAGGGCCTGACTCACCTTTGAGCAGGAGGCTCCCGACGATCATGTAGAGCACTCCTGTGACCATAAGTATCACCGCAACGGCAATTGAAAATGCCCAGCCCCCCAGACAGAGGCACCCCAGGAATATCAGGAACAGTCCCCGACCCATAGACGTGTATATCTACACACACAAGCACACCCGCGGCTGTATGTGCTCCGTGTCTGTCTGTGTGTCTGCCTGCCTGCCTGTCTGTCTGTCTGTGTCTATGTGTCTTACGAAGAGGACATAGCCGAACATGGGGAACGACTTGAGGTCGGCGACAAAGAGCAGAACGCCAAAAAGAATAAGGAAGATCGCCACCACCCACCCGCTGTCAATCAATTGAGATGACCAACAGACGCAGACACGGAGAAAGAAGCACGTCTCTCTTCCCCCTTTGTGCGTGTGTCTGTCTGTCCGTCTGCGGTCATCGGTACATACATACCCGATTGAGTGTACATGTGAAAGGATGAAGAGGACGAGGGCATATACGATGAGCAACAGTGAGGAGATGATGGACAGCAGCTGCAGCAACACCGCCGCCTGCAGAAATGGGGGAGACGAAAGCACGGCCGAATGGGCCTTTAGAGCCAGTCTTCCCGAGCCCCTGAACTCACCGCATTCATGTTTGTTCGCTGTGTGCTGCGGGAGGCGTCGGGGGGGGGGGGGAAGA